AGATTGGGTACCATGTTCTGTGAGCACTGGAGAATACCAACAAGTAAGTTAGGATGTATAACAAACTACTTAAACTAGTTGCCGTCAGTCACCTTTAACTCATGGTGCCCCGTGTGTGTCAGAGTAGAACTGTGCTCCACAGGGTTCTCAGTGGATGATTTTCATAAGTAGATTCCACTCAAGGTGCCCCCGTGTGTATCAGAGTAGAACTGTGCTCCACAGGGTTCTCAGTGGATGATGTTTCATAAGCAGACCTCTCAGTGACTTACCTGTATAGATAGAGTTGTGGTGTAATTTCAAACAGTGCAAGGAAAATAGAGATAATTTCTTGCCGGTATAGTCCACGTGAACACATCTGTAGTATTTATCAAAGGACCAGATTCAGGAGGGTGGGGAAGGGGAGGAAGGGAAACCAGAATGGAGGGAGGACGTGGGATAGGCCTGCTATGTGGAGGGGGTCACTACCCTGCAGACAAAACCAAGTGTACGGTTTGTTCAATGTAAGCGCTTCACTGAATGCATAATAAGAAGTAAAACCAAAAAGCCAAACCCCTAGAAGGTGCTACCGGAGTCCTGGGAGTGCCGTGGATAAACACTTGGCTGCTAACCAAAAGGTGGATGCTTTGAACTCACTTGCTGCCCCTCGGGAGAAAGATGTAGCAATCAGCTTTAGCAAAGATTTACTTCCAGACTTGGAAAGTCCTGGATCGTTCGGCCCTATTCCATAGAGAGGCTCTGAGTCGGAGTCCGGTGCACGGAACGGGTTTTAAAGTGCTAGTTAGACGAGGCTGTCAGCTCCCATAAGGATTTACAGACTCAGGAACGCTATCCAGGGTCACTCTGAGTCAGAGTCGGCTCGGTGGCAGTGTATTGCTGTCCATTGCATTCCAGTAGTTGTCGTGGGAACCGTAAATAGCTGACTTTCCACAGGACAAACAAGCAGGAGCACACCCTGGAGTGGGACTTGCCCTTGGACTGTCTTCCTTTCCCACTCTGGGCCTGTTTCCCTGCTCACAGCTGATTTATTAGAGCACTTGGGCCCACGGTGTTGGTGTCTGGTCTCTGCCCAAACTTTCCTGCTGCTCCGACTCCCACCCGTGGAAGCAGAAAAGGGAAGTGCATTTTGGTTTTTCCCCGGAGGTGACATTGAGGCTCATAATGAAGTTTTCATCGCTCTCCATTTTCCTTTTGTTGTTGTTGTTGGTGGTAACCACAGGTTGGCAGTTTGAACCCACCAGCAATTCTGAAAGAGGAAAAGGAGGCAGTCTGTACCTGTAAACATAATACAGGCTGGGCGCCCCTGTGGAGCAGTGACACTTGTCTATATTGTTGTGAAGTTTCAACTCAGCACGACCCTATATAGAGTTTCCGAGGAGCAGCTGTGTGAGTTTGAACTGCCGACCTTGAGGTTCAAAGTGACCTTATGGTCCAGTGCTTATCCTACAGCACCACAAATTAGCCTTTTATCGATGCGCTTCTTTTCCAAAAGGCCTGGCGATGGTGTCGATGTAGTTTGCCAGGAAAATCCGAGTAGATGAAATATTCACACTCCAGTCCTCTGTTAAGAGTCCTGGTGTGGCGCTGTGGGCTAATGTGCCAGACTGCAAAGCCGTTTGAACTGCAAGGTCAGCAGTTCAAGCTCACCAGCTGCTTCTCAAAAACCCTATACAGGGTCGCAATGGGTCAGAACTGACTGGACAGCACTTAACAACAACAAGTCCTCTGTAAGGGACCTACAGAATTTCTCACGAATGAATGTTGAACATTGCGAATATAGCATTTCAGTGCCTTCACTTCATACAAATTATTCCTCGCGAGTGTATTTAATTAGCGATATTGAGGAATGAGTCATTAGGGAAGAATCAGACTAGCCTGTGTCCTACATTTGCCTCAGTTGTGGCCACTTGACCGACACATTTTTACAGAAACCATCAGACCACCAGATGCATACACAACTGCTTACTGTCAGCAGCATTGTCTGTTCTACCATGACACTGTCAGCTCTGCCTCCGAATCAGACTGTTGGTCCTTTGTCCTCACCAGGAGGCTGGTTAAAGCTGCAAATGAGGAAGAAACAGAAAGGCACCGATGTGGTCACACACTGACGGTACCATCCAATAGCATCCTTGAATGTTCCAGAAGACTAATTTGTTCAGAAATAACTTGAAGAAAGAATGATGTTAATCATTTACCTAATAAAAAACACACTGGGGAGAGCTGTAGCGTGAACATCTGCCTAGGCGATGGGAACGCTGGTCAGCTTGTGCGTCTGGGAGCAGGAACAGTGGGGGCTGGAGGTCTGACTGTAATTACAGCCAAGCCGGGACTGGCTCCCAGTCCACTACAGCCAACTTACACTAATGCAAAGCAGATGAACTGCCCTCTGCACATGCAAATGATAGGGTTCTGAGATCTAATAATTATACTACTTTCTAAGTGAAGAAATCCCTGTGAATTATGTTCAATGAAGGCTGCTGGTACTTACTAGGAGCCCAGGTGGCACCATGGCTAAAGCACTCGACTGGGCACCAAAAGGTTGGTGATTTGAGAGTACCAACTGCTCCTTGGGAGAAAGGAACTTCTGTGAAGTCTCCAGCATCAGGACGCCTATGAGGCAGGTCTACTCGGCCCAAAGGTTGTGATGAGCTGCATTCGGCTAGACAACAGTGGGGGTTTTGAGTAGTGGAATGAGATTCAAGATTAAAACCTTTTCAGAGGAGATACACATATTGGGATCTCCTTCTGACAAGTACCAGCTACTTCGCTAGCCACTGCTTGGCTGGCAGCTCCCTTGGCTGTGGAGATGTGGGTGGGGGGAAGCCAAGGGAAAGGTGGTCCTGGGAGACTCCGAGGAGCCTCTTTGCCATGCTCAACCAAATAGAATGATGAATCTTGGGACGTTCTCAAAGGCTACCTTCTAGTCCGCTATCTGCAGGTCCAGGTCTATAAAACACTGAGGAGCACCTACAAGATTCTATACAATTATCGTGTCAAGATTAGGTGATAGACTCCACGCGAAGGTAGTGGGCAAAGTGACACAGATGGCTAAGAGCTCTAGGCTGGCAGTTAAAACCCATCCAGAGGTGTCTCCGAGGAGCCAGGGAATCTACTTTTGAAAGTTCATGGCCTTGAAAACCCTGTGGAGCACAGGTGTACTCTGACACACATGGGGACCACCATGAATGGGATCTATGTATGAAACATCATCCACTGAGAACCCTGTGGAGCACAGTTCTACTCTGACACACATGGGGACACCATGAGTGGAATCTACTTATGAAAAATCATCCACTGAGAACCCTGTGGAGCACAGCTCTACTCTGACACACACGGGACACCATGAGTGGGATCTACTTATGAAAAACCATCCACTGAGAACCCTGTGGGCACAGTTCTACTCTGACACACACACACAGGGACACCATGAGTGGGATCTACTTATGAAAAATCATCCACTGAGAACCCTGTGGAGCACAGTTCTACTGTGACACACACGAGACACCATGAGTGGGATCTACTTATGAAACATCATCCACTGAGAACCCTGTGGGCACAGTTCTACTCTGACACACACATGGGGCACCTTGAGTGGGATCTACTTATGAAACATCATCCACTGAGAACCCTGTGGAGCACAGTTCTACTCTGACA